CCATTGTTGCTGTAAACTGGGTCTTCTTTAAGGACTCCCCAATTTTATCCAATGTCCCATAGTCGCACAATGAATGTGACACACCACTATCCACCATTGCCTGGAGGCATCGCCCTTTGCAGAGCACCTCGAGGAATGTGGATGCTGCCACTCTGAGTAGCCAAAGATGGTCTCATCAATAGGGCCATAGAATAGATAAATATAATCATTCATGTTTCCCAACACCCAAAGCTGCACTCTGTATATCCAATTTCACCTGGGGGTTGGAGTTTTTCGAGGTTGATGAAGCTTCTCATGGGCCTAGAACCTTCCCCAAGCCTTCGCAGTTGCGTCGCTTCACCTGTGAGGACCGTGGAACCTCAACACAATACAGCTGGGAGAGAATACACTATACAGCAAGGAGAGAATACTAACTCTTTAGAACGCTCGACCCGTTTCAACACTCCGGGGTTGATTCGCCATGGATGGGTAGCTTCTTGCTGTCCACAATTGTTGCTGTAAACTGGGTCTTCGTTAAGGACTCCACAATTTTATCCAATGTCCCGTAGTCGCACAACGAATGTGACACACCACTATCCACCATTGCCTGGAGGCATCACCCTTTGCACAGCACCTCGAGGAATAGTGGCTGCTGCCACTCTGAGTAGCCAAAGATGGTCTCATCAATAGGGTCATAGAATAGATAAATATAATAATTCATGTTCCCAACACCCAAAGCTGCACTCTATATATCCAATTTCACCTGGGGGTTGGAGTTTTTCGAGGTTGATGAAGCTTCTAATGGGCCTAGAACCTTCCCCAAGCCTTTGCAGTTGCGTCGCTTCACCTGTGAGGACCGGGGAACCTCAACACAATACAGCTGGGAGAGAATACACTATACAGCATGGAGAGAATACTAACTCTTTAGAACGCTCGACCCGTCTCAACACTTCGGGGTTGGTTCCCAACCTTTTCTGATACTAGTGTTATTTGTAAAGGCATCCTTCTAGCCTCTAACTCTTCCCTAATTGTTTCAATGGCTTTTAAACCTCGAAAAGTACTGTTCATATTTAATGTTGTTGATGCGAATGAAGTGTTGGATCCGCCCTCACTTGGGCGACGCCAACATCCCAGTCGGGTGTACAGGGGAAGCAGCCGACTGTGCACAGTGGGAGAGCAGCTCAACGGCGGCTGCGTCGAGCTGCAGGGGACCGCTGCGGCGATACCTGCTAGAGACTAAGGACAGAGTCTACGAAGATTAGGTGCCTAAATTTCTCAAAATCGTTGGCTTGGAACTCTGGACAGAATTGTCGACTTCATAGGAAACGTCTTCGACAAAAAATTGCATTATTGAAACTTCACCAATTTTGGATATGTTGTAGCAGAGCATAGCTACAATTCCCAAGTTGAATCGTATCAAGAGGTGAAGTATAACTCGACTTATCAATTTTGGCGCACAGGGGGGTATGCTGACATAAGAACTTAACTCAATCATAAGAGTCTCACAAGTTCACACAATCTCACACAAGAAAGTTAGAATAGCACTAAACCAGGTGGGAGGGGATGAGGAGGACGAGAAGGAAGGTCCCAAGAGAGTCTCCAACCAAGGAAACTCCATAAGCACACCAAATCCCTTCCCTGTAGGAACCCCACTTTGACCTTTGTGTCAGAATCCCAACCATTAGACCATTGGGATAAAAGGGCTTTTTTCAGTAGCGGGTCAGTGCGCCCATAACCCCCCAGGCGAACGCGCCTGTAACCCTCTCCAGGATCAATCGGGCATCCACAGTGCAGATCTACTGACACCCCCCCACACTGGGAGGCCCAGGACTAAGCACAGCGGCAACGGCCTACATGTGCATACACCGGGAATCGAACCCGAGACCGCTCTGATACCATGTCAGAATCCCAACCATTAGACCATTGGGATAAAAGGGCTTTTTTCAGTAGCGGGTCAGTGCGCCCATAACCCCCCAGGCGAACGCGCCTGTAACCCTCTCCAGGATCAATCGGGCATCCACAGTGCAGATCTACTGACACTTTGTCCATTTCCCAACCTCCACAATCCACCTCACCCAAGTTGGCCACACTTGCCAACCCAATTTGGTTTCTCCCAACCACTTGGCAGCATCTACAGTGATGGGGACGAATTTCCCAACCCCCAAAAGTCTGTACCCCTTATGGAGTCAACCCCACAACTTCCCATAGTCACCACAACCAAATATCAGAAGCATACGAACTTCTAACGTTCGTAACTTTCTTGTTCGTGCTCCGATTAAAGCGATACTTGGTTCGTCGAAAATCTCTTGAGCAGAGGAGTCACTTCATATATCTGCTCAAGCCAAATAACATTCACACACACTCAGAAAATCCAAACCACGGAAAACACAAATTCTTGCACACGCTCAAACCACGCATGCAACGCACGAACATGTGATGGGAGGCAGACAGACGTCAATGTATATGATTGCATCACACAACAATACCGTTGACAATGAGCCGACGGCCTACTTCTGTGGGGCAGATCGACAAGGTGATTGTTGAGATACACAAGTCAGTCGCGGGGCTGGAGCCGTCGACAAGGGGAGCTCGACTGCTGAAGCTGAGCTTGGTGGTCGACGGACCCCTCCGTCGACCTGGGAAGTAGTTCGACGGGCGCGGTGATCTACGAGGGGTTCGTCGACCAGGGCGCGCACTGGGTGGTCGACCAGGTCGACCAATTAACCTCCCTGGTGTTACTAGAAGGTTGCGCGGGTCGCGAAACGTCCCGAACGGGTCCTTCCCAAATTCAGTAGAAGGCAATTCGGTGGCAACCGAAAAGCCTAGAATTCAGTGCACTCAACCTAGTTCGATGCCTATAACTATAATAAATATAGTAAAAGCAACGAACCTAGGAAATCTAGCAAAAGCAAGCAAAATAATGCAAAGCTAAGCTACATAATGCGTAATAAAGCAGTATCAAGCAAGTAAAGTCTAGCAAAGACGTCGTACTCTCACACCGACGTTCTTCAACCCCCGCTTAGTCATTGGGCAGTCTCTTTTCGCGTGTCCCGGCGGCCTGCACGACACTCCGAAATTGTCGGGGTGGCACCTTGAACACCGTCTAATCGTGGGCTGCTGCGGCTGTCCCCGAAAACAACTTCCTTGAACGGGAAAACTGGTCTCTAAACTGTCGAACAGCTGGCAAACAACTCATGGCACGCAGCAACAAACGAATATTTCTTGGGTGTTCAGTCCCGATATGCTCTCGCGCCTGCGCCCCACTTCCGCTAAGTACAATTCAGCCATGTTATTGTCTGTTGCAGCCCGTAAGTGTCGCCGGGTTCAAAGTTCCCGTCTGTCCACAAGCACGTCTGCCGAAAATCGTCGACGATTCGCCCGTCAGTACGGTAAGCGCCGTACTATCCAGTCCGACGGGATGATACTCAACCCCCACATAATTCGGGCGGCTTGAGCGTCTAACTCCCCCAGCCGTCGGGATCCTCTAATGCAAAACTCCATTTTCGCCTTGCGAGTTCCCCAGCCAATTTTTCTTCCATAGTTGCTCCGAAATTGTCGCCCGCAGTGTCGCATGTCCGTTGTCAACGGCTGCCGAAACACATTCCGCGAGTCATGCGCGCAAAATGACAACGAGCCACCGTCGTAACTTGCCGCATTAGACGAACTCCGGGATTGACGCGCAGCTGTTGACCCAGGTTCGACGTCGTCAACTGCCACTCATCGTGACGACTTAAAAAAAAAAAGTGTAGGTGCCGACGCTGGTCCGCTAACGCCACCTGCCTCACAAAATTCAGAAATCGTCGGTAAGAATGCAGCGGAATACGGTAGTAACCCACTTTTAATGTCGCGACAGCTCCAGCTGTTCGTTGCCCAGGGAGAGGGAGGTCACGGTCGATCGCAACCGTCGAAGGCAAGGATCCAACGATGCCGCGGAGTGCACGAAAAATCTATGGCCGCAAAAAGCAACTTACCCGTTCTCTTGGCCGACCTACGCAACTCCTGGACCCCAAGACATCCTTCCTCGTCCCCCCCCTTCCCCTTTGCCCCCCCCTGAGGGGTAACACACTCTAAAAAACGGGGTAGGCTAGGAAAGTAGCTCTGATACCAGGTGTTATGAATGAACTTGCAGAGTGCGTGGTAAAACAAATAACGAGAATACTAAACTACTTAATGACGATACAAGGAAAGTAACGAGGCCTAAATAGGGGAAGTCCTAGCTAGGCGAAGAGGTCGGGCGAAAATGGCTCGGTGATGGTTGCGATTGGAGCGAGGCCGACTCGGGAGTGGTTTGAGGCGACGAAATAGGCCGAACTGAGCTGACGCGTGCTCCTCGGAATGAACTCGCTAAAGTGTGAGTATAGTAAGGAATTGTAATTCCTTATAGCTATGCTATGCTCGCAATAATGTTTGTTTTATTCCCAAACATAAGCAATACAGAATGGTCCCATGTGTGGCTGCTTAGTTCAATACCAAGTAGCTGATAGTTGTAACAATGGATGAAGCCAATTCCTACAGGTTACCTATATCGAGGGTCCCTGGATATTTTCGTCAGTCATGTTTCTGGGGTGTTGTCCAAATCAAAGATGGGCGAGCCAACCGCGCAAGCCTCATCTGGTGAAACCAGCTCCCTACCAACACCCTACACTTGCCAGTCCCCAGCGTGCTGTGCGCGTAGGTAAGGCGAGACGCTGCCTACACGTCACTCTCACCGATTTTTCCTCACGCGTTTCGTCTACGCGTCGTTTTGATCATGTCGTTGTCTGCGCTGTTCCCGCTGTGCATGAGTCGTCGCCGCCTCGTCGCATTCTAGTCTCAGAACACGCCAGCCACCAGCGGCCGTCCTGTCTTGTCGCATAGCCTCGTCTTCGCTCGCTCATGTCGTGTGGCTTTTCTCTGCTCCACCATTCACTCGATGCCCGACCACTCGTCGTTCCCCGCTTTCCTAACTTATGAAACTCATACCCGTTTCCCGTCTTATTCGTCTTATTCCCGTTCCTTTTACATGCTTCGTTTTCCTGCAGCCGTCAAGTTTTCCATCTTCCCGTCAGTCGACCAGCGCCCGCCTGCCGTCATCCCGTCCGTTTAGCCGTCACTTCACCGGCGTCCCGCAATGGGCATCGCGCGCACTTGGAACGTGGAATCGACGGTCAAGGTCGCCTTCGCCGTGGTCGTCGGCACCACGCTCGTCAGCTCCTACCTTTATGCGGTGAGCTCTTCTCGCTCCCCACCTCCTACCTCTACGCGGCGAGCTCTGTTTTCCCCGCGAAGTACGCTCTGGCTCTCAGGTAAACTCGCGGATCGCTTTCATTGTTGTCATTAGTCGTCCGCAGCTCATTCGTCACTCCCATCTCTATCAAGTGACGCAATGAGGCTGTTTTGCCGCGCTCGTCACTCCCATCTCTACGCAGTGACGCAATGGGGCTGTTATGCTGCATAATGACGGTCCTGATCGCTCAGTGAATGAACCCGTCGCGAATGAAGCTCAAATGGGACATGCCACACTGCGGTTGCGAACGACAAAGCACCCGCACTGCGGACTTTTGAGTTAGCTCAAACGTCGGCTCGCAGCTTGGGGGTGAGCGGCTATGTGCGAGGATGACTTTTGTGAAAGTTGCAGACATGTCTGCTTCATGGATGGCATGGCATGTCTTGATGTGTGCCGCAGGGATGCACCGTCTCCGCTGGCTCTCCAGTTGCTTGCCATGCCAACTGAACTCACCTGCCTCTCACGCCCACCCACCCACCTCCCCACCCATCCCATCTGCTCAGAGCAAGCTGAAGACACAAGCAGCAGCAGGAGCAGCGAAGAAGTGATAAGGCACAGCAGAGCATCTGTTTGACATCTTCCAAGGGTCGACGGACACTATGGAGCATCCTATGCCTCCTCCACAATCATTCATACTGCCACACTAACTGTTTTCCTACTCTGTGTTCATACTGCCAATCGTAGCTTAATTGATACTATCTGTAATCAAGCAAGAACTTTATACGGTACTGTGAGTACAGCCATAATGAGCGAGCCATGGTCACAAGTCTACTTTGGGTGGGATTTGAAAGTCTGCTGGATGGAAACAGCACGGCTGCAGAGCTGCTTCTGCTGCTGCTGCTGCTGCTGGTGGGGGCCAGGTGGTAGGCTGCATTGCACTGCGTGTGCCACATGTGACCCCCCCAGCCTGTGTGCCAGGATGAGTGTTTGTGAACACACCAACATGCACAGCAGCATGCACCACTGCTGCTGCTGATGCAAGCACCATGCCAGACTCATTCTCATCCTCCTCATCCTCTTCATCCTCCTCCCCACCCCACACATCACTCCCCAGTTCCCCATCCCCGCCATACCCCACGTCACTGCCATACCCCGAGTCCCCTCCGCTCTGCCCCTCACTCCCCACCCGCCCGCTGCGCCTCTCCTCCCCCGCGCGCCCCTGCTCCTGCTCCCACGGCCCCTCCCTCGCCCACGCCCCGCCTCTCGCCCACTCTCTGCCCAGCGGCAGCGCCTCCCCCTCCACTATGCTCCTCGGCGTGCTCACCGCTGCTGTGGACCACCTGGGAGACAGATGCAGCAGAGGGGAATTAGAAAGCATGGCATAGGGGAAGGCAGAAAAGAGGGTACTGATTGGGGCAGCAGATGCGAGTGAGGAAAGGAACGGAAAGGAAAGGAAAGGAAGGGGAGGAAGGGGAGGAAGGGGAGGAAGGAAAAAGAGAGGGGAAGGGAGGGAGTGAACAGTGAAAGAAAAAGACGGGAAGAGGTGAAGGTGAGGAAAGGATAGGAAATGGAAGAAAAGGGAATTGGATGGAAGACATGGGAAGGGAAGGAAAGTAAAGGAAAGAGAATGAAAGGAGAGGGAAGTCTTAGATTTCAAGGTGTCCCTTTGCATTGCAAAGCACGTTTGGTAGTGCAGGGGACAAGAAAAAGGAAGGAAGAGGACGACGGGAAAGCGAGTGAGGGGGACGAGCAGGAAATAGTGGGCACAGATGAGGAAATAGTGGGCACAGATGAGGAGATAGTGGGCACAGATGAGGAAATAGTGGGCACAGATGAGGAAATAGTGGGCACAGATGAGGAAATAGTGGGCACAGATGAGGAAATAGTGGGCACAGATGAGGAAATAGTGGGCACAGATGAGGAGATACAAAGAGGGGGGGGGTCGGATGTGAGAGGAGGGGGAGAAGGTTGTGGCACAGACAAGGAAGAGAGGTGGGCAGTGACGTGTCCGCTAATGGGAGGAACGTATAAGTAAAAGTGAGACAAGTCAACATGTGGAGGGCTGTGAAGCTACCCCAACGACACCCCAATATGGCAATGACACAGAAACACACTAATAAAAACCAGAGTAACCACTAGAGGACGTGGGAGGGAGGCATGATGAGGACATGCGAGCAAGATTGCAGTGCGCACCTCTCTCGTGCCCCTTGAGGCAGGTCAATCCCCGTGCTGCTGCTGCTCACATACCCCCCTCCTCCCGGCACCACCGCCACCTGCCAGCCCTCCTCCCACCCCTCCTCCACACCCCCCCTCTGCCTCCACCCATCCACACCCAACCCTCCCCCTCCACTTGCACCATTCCCCACGCGCCCACCACACCGGCCCGCACCACCCTGGGCTCCCCTGGCAGCAGCACTGCAGCGCCGGCTGCTGCTGCTGCTACGCCCCGCCTCCACCCGCTGCTGCCGTGCCGGCCTGACAGCCCCGCGCGGCCCATGCTGCTGCCGCGTGGGGCGGGACGAACCGGCAGGGCGCGAGTGGCCATAGTACAGCTCGCCACTCGCCCGGCTCACGTGCTTCCCGCTGCCCACCTGCCGCCCGCTGCTCCCACTGCTGCCGCCCTTGAATGCACCATCACCAGCAGGAGCAGCAGCGGGAAGGGCAGTAGGTGAGGTTAAGTGCGGTACGGGGGAGTGCCTGCCAGCATCAGAGCTCCTGCCCAGCTCCGAGTGAGGATGGGCGTCGGAGAGACGGTCGCGGTCAGAGAGGGAGGGGGAGGGCGGCACAGCAGCACGGTCAGACAGCAGGATAGTGGGGTCAGAGAGAATGGCAGCACTGGCGGAGGCGGAGAGGGAGAGGGAGGGAGCGAGGGGGTCGGAGGCACAGGAGGTGTCGCATGGGGCTGCAGCAGGGTCGCTGGTGTGGCCCCCTGTCACCGCCACTCCCACTCCGCCTTGCCATGCATGCACGCTGAAGCGCCGCCTCTTCCGAAGCTGCACAATGGTGACGCCAGGGGGGAGAGGGGAGGATGTTAGCTTTCAGAGAACGCACATCATGATGGGCGGAGACATGTGCAAGCCTCACATTTGTTCCCACATTTCCTGCTTCTTTTCTTTAAGCATCACATGCCTTTCCGCTTTTCTTTGTTTTGTTTCTTTGTTGTTTTTTATTAATTTGTTTTTTTGGCTGGAGGGGGGGGGGGGGGCTCACCTGCCTTCCCTGCCACCTTTCAGTCTCTTGATTGGCCTCACCTGCCTGCCCTCCTTCCATCGCCATGTACCCCGCCCTACCCCCACTGCCATCTGCCCAACACCCCTGCTTCCGCTGCCACCATCCTCCTCCGAGCTCTCACTCGCCTCCCCGCCCCCCCTCACAGCCATTCTGCACCCCGCCCACTCCGCCGCCCAACCTGTCTCCTCCGCCATCACCTCGCCTCCCCACACGCCCCACTCTCCCCCTCTGCCTGCCTCCCACCCACCCGCACCAGCTGTGCCTCTCTCCTCCTCCTCCTCACCTTCCTCCTCCTGCTCCTCCTCCTCCTCATCCCCCTCTCCCCCTTCCTCCACCTCAGCATGATAATCACTGCTGTCGCTCCCCCCATCTCCCCGAAACACCTCCCGTCCCGCCCTCTTGCGTCCACACACCTGCCTCGTCCCTGTCACTCCAACCACCATGCCGCCTGCCCCGCCACTCTCCCGGCCTCTGTCCTCCCCCTCTGCTGTGCCGTGCCCCTTGCCGCCGCTGCCACTACCCACCGCCGCAACTCCCCCACCCAACCCACCCTCTCCACTCCCCCCACCCCTCTCTCTCCCTCCTCCTTCCAGAACCCCGCCTGCTCCCTCCCCTGCCACCCCCACTCTGTGCCTCCTCACCCCCCGCCTCCTCCATCTAGAAGCTTCCAAGTTGTTTCCCTCACCAGCTGGACCGTCCACGTCAGCAGCAGGAGCACCACGAGCAGCAAGCACAGCATCTCCCCCTGCCCCCGCCCCACTACCTTCCCCTGCCTCCACTGCCTCATCCCTGCCCGCCCGCCCGCCCCCTCCCTCCCTCCACCCCTCTCCTCGCCCCTCGCCCTCCACATGCAACGCGGCCCTCTCCCCTCCCCCCCCGCTCCATCTCCCCCCCACGGCCCTCCACCTCCTCGCTTCGCTTCCGCGCCTCTGCTCGCGCTGACAGCCCCCTCCGCCTTCCCACCGCCCCACGCCTTGCTTTGGGTGGCCCCATGCTGCCTGCGTTTCCTTGGCCACCGTTGCCCCCACTGCCTCGGACCCATGCCTCACCACTCGTCGGTGCTGTCCCACCCGTGCCTACTTCACCTACCTCACCTGCCTCACGACTCTCGCATGCCAGCGTGCCGAATCCCACACGCCTGCTGCCAGGGCTGTGCGCCCAGCAGCCCTCGCCAGCACCACCACGTGCTCCCCCACCCCCACTCCCTTGCGCATACCCATGCCCATGCGCACTCAAAAGGCCATGCCCGTGCCCATGCGCATGCCCATGCCTCCCTCCCCCACTGCCCGGCCGCACTGCTCGTCGGGCTGCCTGCTGCTCCAGCGCGTGCCAGCTCTCGTCCGAGCTGCCCCCGGACCACCCTGACACGCGCACGCCTCTGCCTCGGAAGCCCAACCGAGCCTCATGCTCCGGTTTGGCAAGCTCCGCCGCCCCGAGCCTGCCAGCTTTGGCGAAGGGGGAGGGCACTGCTGTGGCTGCTGCGGCGGGGGCGTGGGCGTGGGCCGGGGCGCTAAAGGTGGCGGCGCAGCGCCACGCCTTCCCGTGCACCTGTAGCGGTTGCGCCGCGCGCACCTCTTCACAGCTGCTCGCTCCTCGCCCCGCCGCGCCCCCGTCCTCTGTTTCCTCTGTCCAATCCTTCCCTTCCCCACGTCCGGCCTCCTCGCGATCATCCATGGCCCTCTCCGCCGCCGCCGCGGCAGTTCCGCGGGTCGCCCCTACAGCCTCCTCCTGCGCGCCCTCCGCCTGCCCGAACGGGCTCCACGCGCCCAGGCGGTCCAGGCACGACGCCAGCTTCCGCTGCGCGCGCCGCCGGGCGGACGCCCGCCCGCGGTGAGTCGCGCGCGGGGCGGCGGCAAGGGGGTCCGCGGGCGGAGGAAGGGCGAAATCCACTGCCGCCGGTTGCGCCATTGGGCGAGAGGGGCGGTGATGGAGGGACGGCGGGGCCTATCAGCGCGCGCGCGCTGAGGGCGCGCGTGGCCTGCTGGCGGAGCCAGCGACTCCTGGCGCGACCGCGACGCCCGGGCGCAACAGGCACGCGCGAGGGTCGTGCGCGCTTCAGTCGCGCGGCAACGCACCCCGTGCAGGAGCGAAAACTGCCGCCTCTGCTCTCGACAGTGCGGGTGTGATGACGAGAGAATCTTAATCCTAGAACGAGTAATTTGTGGGGCGTTATAACCCACCGCACTCCGCGCTGCAGTTGTTGATGCAAGCACGGGGCTCACTACGCTTGTAGCGGAGTTGAGATGTTAGCGCGTACTGAGATATAAGTGCGTCAAGGAAGAAGAGGTCTGACTTGACAAACTCAGCTACTCGTCAACTCAGACGCTCTGAAGGGCTTGTTCGAACAATCACCGTACTAAACCAAGTAGATTAAAATTTAAACCGCTCTGTACCATAGCCAACCCCCAAAATTTAATTTAGGAATTCGAACAGCTGGTTACCACCCGAGGTGACACGCTCTGACACAGATCACCTCACGCACCCAGCCACCCCCTATCTGAACCAAGTCGCCAAGCCCACGCGAATAGCCCACGCGCCACCCATACAGTGTGTTCGCTCGCGAAAGTGAGTGTTTTTGGCCCTCGATCTTGCGCGAAGGTCATTGCGATGTTTATTGCGAGCGAAGGTCGTGTGTTACTCACAGCTTCGCTTGACAAGTTCGATCTGCCTAACGGATCCGCGAAGTACCTGAACAATTTTCAAACCAGTTGGGTCGTTTCGTAACTGTTGATTTTGGCCAATCAGAATCTCCACCCCAAAAACCATGTTCGTGGGTGGCGAGGGTGTGCAAGGCCCAAACCGGGTTACCTGGTTTCTGGCGATTTCAACATCGAGAAACTTGAGCCATCACCTTTCAGGACCCCACATTGGTTGGGCTGCCTGCCCAGTATCATGGTGCTGCAGCTCTTCCATTTTCGTACGTATTTGAACCGAACTACCCACCCTACCCAACCGTTTCTCATTCCAGCAAAACATCTTCCCGTTGAGCTGTCAGCTAGACACGCAAAAAGAACATACAAAGATATCCGTTACCACCACCACCCAGCTCCAGCTATTCCCAGGCCGCAGCCGTTTGACCTAATAATCTTTGCAGAAGCGTTCTTTCCGCAGACATTACCTCGTGATACCTCAACTGCCAGTCTTATAGTTCAGGTACCATGCCTCCCTCCTCGTACATCAACAACCTGTCAGATGACCTCCTCGTTTATATCTTCTGGCACTCCAAGAACGAAGTTCCACTTCGCCGCCAATCCAAAGACCTTAGACTTCATCCATCCGTTCACATCATGCGTCCACCAAGGTACTCCTCCGACAGCCCCTACGGCGACGACCTCAGCACCTTGGAAGAATTTTCGTCCCTGTCCTCCGTCCAGCGGAACGACGATAATACCACTGCTGCTACAAATACCAGTTATAGTACTACACCGTTGTCAGCTCCTATCGTTCTCACAGATCCAGCCTACCACCTTCTCATCGCATCCGTTTGCAAGCGCTGGCGTCGCCTGGCTCGCCGTCAGGTCTCAATGCTCCTCGTGAAGGAAAACGTCGCCGTTTCACTCCAAGATCTCACGGCTGCCATCACGTGCTTCCCGAACCTTTCTCATCTGCACCTCAGCGACAACAGCGTTGAGACCATCAGCGACGCATTTCTCGATTTCCTCGCTTCTGCGTGCCCTAAACTGGTGTCGCTGCACGTGGGGAGAGAGATCACGCTGACGGCGGAATATGAGCCTGAGGAGATGAACCTGGTGACCGAGGCTGGTTTGGACCGCTTCCTGCGTCGCTGCTCTCGGCTGCAGCACCTCTCGCTCTACTGCCTGCATCGCTACTGCAAGCTGCCGGATTCTCTCTCGCTCCTTACGAATCTACACACCCTCGCTCTCACCGAAGCCTCACCTCTCGAGGCTCCAGGGTTCACGAAATTGACTTCTCTTACCGCACTCTCCGTCGACATGATTCCACAGCCTGAAGGTCTGAATTTTGCGAGCCTCACGCATCTCCCGGCGTTCACCACCCTCGCATTGTTCAACTACGCATGGCTGAAATTAGAAGTCGCCGGCTCTCAACCATTTTCATTCGCCCAGCTGCCCTGGCTGAAAGCGGTGGAGTTCGACGCGTTCAGTCCGCGATTCGAGTTTATGTTTCCCTCGGGAGTCTCCTTCAGCCGTCTCGAGCGGCTGCTTCTTAAAGGTAGCAGTGTCAGCGAGGTGGCACGTCTTCCTGATGACATTGGACAGCGGTTGCCACGCCTTCGGCATCTGAGCTTGTGGGGATGGAATAATGTTCCCGAGCTGCCCGAACAGTTAGCTTCACTAAGCTGCCTGCGTGACCTGACTATTTTCTCATGCGACATTGTCAGCCTGCCCGAAAACTTTGGAGAGCTGCCCGCTTTGAAAGTGCTGACGCTGAACAGCCTGCCGATTACAAGTCTCCCAGATTCATTCTACCAGCTGACAACTCTGGAAGCCCTCTATCTGTCTTATTGCAACGCAATCTTTGAGCTTCCTGCAAGGTTCGGCTTCCTCACCGCACTCAACTCCCTCTACATCCTCAACTCGCCGAACCTGAAGCTCCCAGACGACATAGGCTCACTCACCAACCTCCGCACCTTCCGTCTGAGAGAGAATTCCCCCCAGCAGCAGCTTCCATCCTCCTTCACGCAGCTGTCCTCCCTCACAATGCTCGAGCTCACCGAGTGTATGCTAGCAGAACTTCCAAAAGACTTGGGGAAGATGAGGAACCTGCGGGAGTTGACCGTCCAGTCTTGCTCCAAGATTCAGCAGCTTCCAGGTTCTCTCACTGACCTTGTCAATTTGAAGGTTCTGAAAGCTATGGACTGTGACAGCCTTACTGCATTCCCCACCAGCTTGAGCAACCTTGCAAGGCTGAAAGAACTGGCTCTTGGCAAGCTCCCCCAGCTAGCACAAGTGTCAACATCCCTGCCCTGTTCCCTCGAGATGCTCTCCATAGGGAGCTCCCAGCGCCTCACCCCTCTGCTCGAGCTTCCTTCTCTGCCCAGGCTGAGAAGAATAACCTTAACAAGTGTTGGGATCATGTGTGGACTGGCTGTAGGCATGACCCTTCCGTCCCTGGAGCACTTAGAGCTGGCGCTGGCTGGAGAGACAGAGGACCTTCCACTGCCTCTGGAACTTCTCTCAAACCTCCGCGGCTTGACTTTCCACAGCACTGGTTGCATGGAGAGGCTTCCAGAAGGGTTTGGTTCGGCATTGCGGCAGCTGAGGGGGTTGCAGATTCACCAGGCTGCAGAATTGAAGGAGCTGACTGATAGTTTCACCGACCTTCAATCCCTGACCTTTGTTGAAAACCATGCACCTAAGCTTGCCTTTCTTCCGCACGGCATCGGGGCGTTGTCTCGACTGCGCCAGCTGAATCTTGATAAGTGCTCATCGCTCACCCACCTCCCTGCTTCTCTCACCCAACTTTCCTGCCTTCATGCGTTGAATCTCCGCCGGCCTTCCAACTTTGGACAACTGAGCCGGCTTAAAGAGCTCAATCTGGACGGCTGCAGGCAGCTGGCTTCTCTGCCGGAGGACCTCTCCCAACTGAAGATGCTTCTCAGCTTGACTCATGAATGCTGTGACGAACTTGAAGCTCATTTTGAAGCTCAAGCTATGGAAAGAAGGTATGGGTTGTCTGCATACCACTCGTAGTGGTTTTTAGTCAGGTGTCAAGCGGGGGGGTGGGGGGGGGGGAGGAATGTTTAGATGCTACGGGAATGGCTGGATGTGTGCATCCCTGGTTGCTTGCTAATTGTAAACCTACTTGAGCTGTAAACATTGTCTTCTTCAAACGTGTTGTACCACTAAGGATGTATTTATTCCAAAACGAAATATTCCCTTACAGCCATGACAATGTGGCACACTCACGCTGCACCACAATAACGCAGAACATGACTGCTGTGGGTACAAAGATTTGTATCTCAGCGTTTCTGCTTCTTCGTCCCCACAACCACTTCCCTCACGATGTCTCGCCACAACCCATCCACCACGCCCTCCTGCCCTGCCCGCACCCACGTCCTCACCTCCGCCCTCAGAAACTCCCCATCACACTCCCACGCCACCCTTAGCTTCCCCTTACTATCAACGGGCCCTCTCACATCCCCCCCTCCCCCACCACCACTCTCACCCTTCCCCCCTGCCCCCTTTCCCCCTCCCCTCACCCCCACCATCAGCCTATGCACCAAATCTCCTGCTCTCCTTTGCCCTAGCCCCTCCGGCCGCAGCAAGCTCGTAGGGTTACCAGCCAGCACCCCCTGTAACTGCTTCATCGCTCCCACCACCTGCCCCTGCAGCAGCGCGCACGCGAACACAGCTGCCCTCTCTCTGCTGCCTTCCAAGTCCACAGTGCACTGCGGCAGAGGCCACCGCTTAGGCCCATACACAGCCGCCACCGTCGCGAGAATGCGGTCCGAGGGGGGGTGGTATCGCGGCGGCGGATCGGGGAGCGGCTTGGAGAGAGAGCAGAGCGCGGGGCAGGAGGAGGGGAGCCAGGCGGGGTCGACAGCCGTGGTGGTGACGAGGAAGGGGTGGGACTCGGTTTGAACGATCTCATTGAAGAGCAGCAGCGGCGGGGCGGAGCGGAAGGTGGCGCTGCGCGGGTGCAGCAGCACTGGCTCGTCCATGAACAGTGTCTCGTACCGCACGGCACGTTTCGGCAGGGAGTGAGCGGCAACTGCAGCACCTGCTGCAGCTGATGGTTTGTCTCCTGGGGCCATTTTTCTCGCAAGGCGGTCAGGCCAGCCTGCTGCCAGGCCCCTTCGGATCAGCCCCTCCTCCCACTCCTTCAGCTGCGGCTCCACCCGGCCCTCCCCGGCTCCCGCTCTCCCCGCCCACATCTGCTCTCCACACTCCACCAGCAAAGTGAGAGGCACAGGTGCAGTGGGGCAGGAAGGAGCAGAGGGTGAGGAGGAGGAGAGGGCATGGGAGAGGAAGGATTGCAGGAGGTGGGCGCGGGTGCCTGTGAGGAGCAGGCGGGAGAGCTGGTGGGCGAGCTGAGACATCTCCCTCATGCACCGCTCCCGCAGGTACAACCGCTGACAGAACCGCTCCCCCGCTCCCCCCCACCCCCGTGCGCCCCCTTTGCCCCCGCTGCTTCTGCTCTCCTGTCCCCCCTTGCCCGCGCGGACAGCAGCATCGTAGGCTCGCAGGGCGTTGGCGGCCGTGATGGCGTCGCTGCTGCGACTCCAGAAGAGCGCATGCGCTGCCCGGCGACTCAACGGCCAGCCACCACCCTCTTTACTCACGTCACTGCCACCACCACCACCCACACCTGCCCTCGCTTCTCCCTCTCCTCCCCGCCTGCCATCCTCCCCCTCTCCTCTCTGACCCATCACCTCCGAATCCCCGTGGCTGGCCGTGCCTTCCCCATCATCCCCTTTGCCCGCCGTGCCCGTGTCATCATGGCGCAGGAAAGGACTCTCCACGCTCATGGCCGCCACCACCGCTATCGCATACCGCACCACCAGCGCACTCACCCTCCCCACCTCCCCCTCCCCCTCCTCCACCTTCTCCCCCTCCCCCTCCCTTTTCTCCTCCACACCCACCTCCCCGTCTCTCTGATTCTGGCTGTTCTCACACCCCACGCCCCCACCCTCCTCGTCTGTGCCCCCTTCCATATACCTCCTCTTCCCTTTCCTACCCGCTCCCCCTCCCCTCCCGCCGTCCAAGCGCTCCCCCGCCTTTTCCCCTCCGTTCCCTGTTCTGCCGCCCATCAGATCTACCAGAGGAACCTTCCTGGCAGCTTCGACCAGGATGGCTAGCAGGGTGCGTGCGTGGCGCGGGCTGATTGGCAGGCACGCCATGGCGCGACCCAAAGGGGTGATGGTGGGGGAGGGTGAGGCGGACGGGGAAGGGGAGGGGGAGACTGGTGGGGGGAGGGCGGAGAGGTGTTGCAGGCAGCGCAAGGCAGAGGCGAGGGAGTGGGGGTTGGGGGACGTGGGGAAGGGGAAGTTGAGAACCTGGGAGGCGTTGGGGGAGGTGGGGGGGGCAGAGGGTGGTGTGGTGGACGAAAAAGGGAGTGAGGGATACATTGGATTGGGAGGGTTTATGCAATGGGAATGGAATGGCCTGCAGTTTTATGCCCTCATGCCTCATTCCTCCCAAGGCCTAGACCACACCTTACCCATGCCCAAGGTTAGACCACACCGTATCCATGCCCGCACCCTTCATATGGAACAGAGGCAGCAGGACTGAATCTGGTCTGATGCCCCATACTCTCATGCCCCATACCCTCATGCCTCATAGCCCTTCGCCTCACCTTATGAATGCCCACACCCTTCCTCTCACCTTATCAATGCCCATGGCCTTCATCTGCAGCACCACGCCCTCAATGGGCGTCCTCTCGATCTCCGCCTGCCCAAACGCCTCAAACTGGTTGGCAAAAACCGCACTGGAAAAAAGTCTGTAGCACTGCCCCGGCCCTGTTCGCCCCGCCCTGCCCGCCCGCTGGTCCGCTGAGGCGCGCGAGATCCACTCCACTGTGAAGCGCGCCAAGCCCGCCCCCCCTGTGTGCTGCTTCACCTTGGCGCGCCCACTGTCCACCACGTAGCGTATGCCTGGCAGCCAGAGGCAGGGAGGGATGGGGAAGGGGACGGAAGGAGATGATCCAACAACATACCCCACACGTGCAGGTGGGAGTGGTTCATGGAGGTAGCGGCGGTAACAGGCAGATATGAGGGTTGGGAGGAAGCGCATGTGAGGAGGAAGCAGCCTCAGCCCTAATAAGGCTAATGACTGTCTGAGGAAACATATATGGAACTGCAAGTGAAAGTAAAGGCGACAAAGAGCAAATTCCGACATTCTATGCCCGAATATCTGAAACGGAGAGAAACACTTGCTCATGCTCAGGGCTTGCTGATCACAAACCTTTACGTGTATCAGATTATTACAACATATCAGATTATTGCAACAGATCGGGCTGTTGGATCAGAATGAACCATTCTGATCCAACAGCCCGATCTGTTGCAATAATCTGATATGTTGTAATCATCTCATCTGTTGCAATCACCTGATCTGTTGCAATCACCTGATCTGTTGCAATCACCTGATCTGTTGCAATCACCTGATCTGTTGCAATCACCTGATCTGTTGCAATCACCTGATGTGTTGCAATCACCTGATATGTTGCAATCACCTGGGATGGTAATGGAGGTCTCAGCAACGTTGGTAGCGACGACCACGAGGCGGCACCCCTCAGGCACCGCTCCGAACACCTTCAGCTGCTGGGCGGCCGGCAGCATGGCATACAGCGGCAGCACATACATGCCGCCCGGCCCCGCTTGCTCCACTGCCGCTGCTGCCTCCCCTGCCCCAGCTTCCCCAACTGCCCCTACCTGCTGCATCTCCCCACCCTCGCCTTTCTCCCCACTCTCGCCTTTCTCCCCACCCTCGCCTTTCTCCCCACCCTCGCCTTTCTCCCCACCCTCGCCTTTCTCCCCACCCTCCCCCTTCTCCGCACCCAGCAGGCCCCACGTTTCCCACTCCTCCTCCTCATCCTCCTCCTCGTCCTCCTCATAGTCATCTCCCCCCTCCTCTCCCTCATACTCTCCCCCTTCCACCACTGCCTCCCACTCCGCCTCCTCTTCCTCACCGTCCCTCACACCCCCCAGTGCCTCCTCCCCTTCTCTTTCCGCCTCCCCCTCGCTCTCCCTCCCATTGCCATCCCGTCCTGCTCTCCCGCTGCTCTCCAGCCGCACAATGGCATCCAGATTTGCATCGGCCTCGCCCTGCTTCTCCGCACCCCCACCACCCAACTCTCCTGCCTCTTCTCCCTCTTCACCCTTAGCACCACCCTCTCCTCCCTCTGCTTCCACCTCTTCCCTCTTATTCTCGCCCGTCTTCCCCTCCCCACTCTTTTTCTTGCCACTTCCTCCTCCTTTCACTACATCCCTGCCCCCAGTTCCCCTACCTCTGGCCCACCTGTCCCCACCTGTGCTGCTCCCCCGCCCCCCCTTTCCTCTATCCCCACCTTCCCCCCTTCTCTGCCCCCCCACCTTCATCGGAAACTTCTTACGAAGCTTCCTGCAAAGGTCTTCCACCTCCCTCTGCCCGGTCAGAAACACCAAGACGCCCCCAGGGGGCAGCTTCCGATGGATAGCAGAAACTTTTTTCTCGGCTGCCCGAACGTAATCCACGAGCTCGGTGCGCCGGGCAAAGTGAACAGTGACGGGGAATTGGCGGGCAGGCACGGAGACGACGGGGGGAGGGCCCGCTGGGAAGAGGCGCGCATTGAGAGTGAAGTCTGAGATGCGGAGAGTGGCGCTCATAATGATGAGCTTCAGAGGAGGCGGAGCCGAGGAAAGTCGACCGCTGGCCTTGGCCTCGTCGTGCAGTTTCTGTGGGGTGACAGGGGCAAGGAGAGGGGGAAGAGGCGGGTGTTGGGGGAGAAAAGAGCAAAGGAAGAAGCGGGGGGCAAGGGAGCAAGAAAAAACGAAGAGGCGCGTATTGAGAGTGAAGTCTGAGATGCGGAGAGTGGCGCTCATAATGATGAGCTTCAAAGGAGGCGGGGCGGAGGAAGGTCGACCAGCCACCTTGGCTTCCTCGTGGAGTTTCTGTGGGTGGTGAAGGGAGCAAGTAGGGCGAAATGAGGCGGGAGAAGCATGAAAGAAGGGGAGAGGCGCGCGTTGAGAGTAAAGTCTGAGATGCGGAGGGTGGCGCTCATAATGATGAGCTTTAGAGGAGGAAAGATGGCCAACCGCCTTGGCTTCATCATTTAGCTTCTGCAGAGCGAAACACACAAGGAGCAAGGGACGAAGCAGGTCGAGAGGGAGAAGAAAAAGTGAAGAGGCGCGTGTTGAGAGTAAATTGTGAGATGCGGGGGGTGGCATTTATAGTGATGAGCTTTAGAGGGGACGGAACGGACGAAGGGCGGCCGCTGGCCCTGACATCCGCGAGCAAGAAGAGAGGGAAGGGAAGAGGTGGTTGTTGGGGGTGACGTGTGAGATGAAGAGTGTGGCGCTCACGTGAGCACTCACCCTTGCTTCCTCCATTCGTGCTTGTGAGCTAGCGGAACGACCCCAGCAGCCATGGCAGTGAGGAATGCTCCTCTCTTGGCAACGGGGCAGAGAGCAGCTCATGCGTTGCTGTGAAGCACACTCGTGTGTCCGCACTCCAGGCACATTGAATGCTGCCAGCAGCCCTTCTCCTGGGGCTTTAGCCCTCCGGCGAGTGTGCCATGAGCCTCAATCTACTGAGAATAACAGACTGCACGATAGATTCAGCAGGAGAGCACATAGAATCGTTTTCACTTTGTGAGGTTGAAGAGAAAGAAAACCTTCAGCGGGAGAAGCTGGATTCCGTAGAGGAGGTTCAGTTTGAGGCGGCCGATGATACAATGAGGAAAATCTTGGAAGTTCAAACTCAACTGAGGTTAAAAGAGATGGAGCTTAAGCGCGAGAGAAATTTTGGTCTTCAAGGAGCAAGAAATGACAACGCTGAGAGGCATGGTCAAGGATTTATGTCGTCCACAGTTTGCTAAAGAACAATTGGAGGCTGCCAATCTCAAGATCAAGAACTTGCAAGATCAAGTGACCAAGCTGGTAGAGCATCTCGCCATGTTGGAAGTACAACTGACAACAAAGAGAAGACCGACTGATTAAAACTTTGTATTGTTATTACTTTAGCATGGATCGGCTTTTGTGATCGTTTAGATTGGCAGCCTGTGTGTGTCCGTGCTCAAGGCACTGTGGATGAATCATGAATGGAGAGGGCCATACAGGGCATACAGGGCCATACAGGGCCATATAGGGATGAGCAAGGGGCGAACACGAACATGTTCGTGTTCGCCCCTACACGAACACAGCGTTTACCGAACCGAACACTGTTTGGTTCGGCGAACACTTTTAGCAAAAACAGGTGTTGCCGTTCGCCTGTGAAGGCGTGTTCAGAGGAACCTCGAACACGTTCGTGTTCGTCGCGGGGCAAATTGCAGCAGCGGCCCGAACACGAACGTGTCCGGGCGAACCTCGAACGCAACGAGGCGAACCGAACAGGTGTTCGTTTTTTTTCTCAACCCTAGGGGCATACAGGGCCATACAGTGCCATACAGGGCCATACACGGCATACAGGGACTGGGCGCGGCTGCTGTGCTTTGCTCAACTGCTGCATACAGAATAGACAATCAGTGCCCCGTCCCTTTATGCCCTGCGCCCACACCCAAATTTGTAGTCGATGTTTTAGTGGACTCAAAATCACCCCCAACCTCCCCGGCCCACCACATGCTTGGCGGAACGGCACGATGCAAGAAAACAGCCTTGCCCTGGGCCGGCGACTGTGAGCAATGACCATCCTCCCCACCCTCCCTTGCCCTCTCCCTTCACCCCTCCCTTTTTTCCCCTCTACCCCCGTCTCCCCCCCACCCCTCGTTACCACCAACGTGCCTGGCGGAGGGGCACGATGCGGGAGAGCAGAGCAGCACCCACCCTACCCCCCTCCCCTTTGCCCCCAACGTGCCTGGCGGAGGGGCACGATGCGCGAGAGCAGCCCGACGAGGATGTCGGTGTTGACGCTCCGCTCATGCGCCTCGTCCAGCACCACCGCGCTGTACTGCCGCAACAGCAGGTCCGCTTGCACCTCGCGCAGCAGGATGCCATCTGTCATGATCTTAATGGCTGTGCCGCCCGCCACATGGCGGTCGTACCGCACCTGCAGGAGGCCCAGAACGCACCCCCAAAGCGCACCACCATAGGATACCGGTTGTTCGTTAAGAATGGATTGAATTACAACAAGGGAAAGGGAAATGTGAGGAGCAATGCATATAAAAAAAAAACTTGAGGAGCAAGAAAGAGTGACTAGCAAGGTAAGGGGAGAACGTGACCAACAATTAATTTGGAGAAAAAATGGTTTCAGGTCAATCAAAGTATAGACGCACCTGGTAGCCCACCTCCCTGCCCACGGTGACTCCCATCTCATCCGCTATGCGCTTGGCCGTTGCTAGCACTGCCACCCTCCTCGGCTGAGTCACGGCGATCATGCCGGGTGTGCCTCCCGGGAGGGACGAGCCGTACCCCGCCTCGTACAGAAACTGGGGCAGGGAGGGAAGGGGGAGGGGAGGGGAAGAGAGGAAGGAGGGGGACAGGCATATCAAAACTCACGCCTGGCCGTGGCTAGCACTGCCACTCTCCTTGCTTGAGTGACGGCAATCATGCCGGTTGTGCCGCCCGGGAGGGACGAGCCGTACCCTGCTTCATAGAGAAACTGGGGCAGTGGAGAAAAGGGGGGCAGGGGGGGAGGGGGGAAAAAGTGAAGGTGAGGGAGAGCGGAGGCAGAGGAGAGAAGGAGAGGAAGGGAGTGATTTGCACGAAAATTTCCTACCTGCCGTTCCCACCGGCTATGTTCGGAAAGACGCAGCTAGGACGCTGCGTCCTGCGTCCGGACGCAGCGTCCGGACGCTAGGACGCAGGACGCGCGTCCAGACGCAGGACGCACGTCGAAAAAAATTTCGGGCAGCCCGGAAAAAAAAAATCGATCGCGATTTTGGCATTCGCGATTTCGACGCGAATTTCGAAATCGCGAAATTTCCCCACCCCAAGCCAAATTCGCCATTCAAAACCAGCCCCCCTAACATTCCCTAACAACTAAACCAAAATTGAATTTCACTCAAACCTCTCAACCACTTAGCATCTACGAATCCCAACCTTTGTAGCCCACCACCACCAAGCACATTTAGCATGGCAACCTTTTGTGGCTTTTCATTTTCCCCTCACCAAATCTCTTTCGTAAACCCATAGAGGTTTTAGGTCCCCTCCCCAAGGGATACAAGTTGGAGGAGGACGGGGAGAGGGAGGTGGACGAGGACGACCCGGCAGTCGACGAATACAAGGACCAGGAAGCGATGGACGAAGAGGAGAAGGAGAGCGAGGATGATGGGGATGCGTGATGGTTGACTTGATGCAGTGCAGTGGTAGTTTAGTATGCATGGTCGTAAATGGTTGGATTAAACGTAATGTGTGTGTGTGAGGCCTTGTGAAATGTGTGACACGTGACTCACCTTAATCTCAAATTTTGGGGGAAGTTTATGCTAAACCCGGGAAAATTTTGTGGTTGGGGAAAATTTTGTGGTATGACACCCCCCCCCCCCCCCCCCCTCTCCCAAGCCCTATACAACTTTTTTTGGCCTGCCCGGGGGTTTTTTTTGCCCTGCCCGGCCTTGCGTCTTTTGGTGCGTCTTACAGGTCAAGGGTCAGCGTCCTGCGTCTGGACGCATGCGTCTGGACGCATGCGTCCAGGACGCAGGACGCGTCTTTCTGAACATAGCCCACCGGCTCTCTTCGGGAAGAACGGGCCGTACCTTGTCTCAAAGAGAAACTGGGAGGGGGGAGGAGGTAGGGGTCTAAGAGAAAGGACCTTCTCTCACGCCCCGCTTGCCCCCATAACCCCTGCACCCCCCTCTCCACCTCCCCTCAACCACCCACACGCCCCTCCGCCACACACCTGCGGCACTTGGGTCGTTCTGCCCGACCCCATCCCACTGCACACGGAGATGGCAGGGCAGGCCCGCATGTACCCTCCCCTTCCTCCCCCCACCCACGCATTTCCCCTTCCCCACCCCACACACCCGCACTCACCTGTGGCACTTGCGTGGTCTTCCCCGACCCTGTCTCGCCGCACACAAGCACGGCGTTGCTGCCCCCCACCGCCTCCATCACCTCGCCTTCCATTGCCACCACTGGCAGCCCCGCCCGCTGTGCCTCTATCTCCTCCCGCCGCTCCACCCGCACCCACAGCTTCCCTCCCCTCTGCCCCGCCTGCTGCCCTCCCTGCTCCCCTTGACCACCACCCTCCCCTCCCTGCTCTGGCTTGCCTTCCAATTCTTTTCCCTGCTTTCTCTGCTCCGCCTCCACTGCTGCTCCTTTGCTCTCTGCTGCCTGCTGCTGCTCTCCTTCCTCTGCGCTGATGACGTCATCCCTGACCTCCTCCATTCGGTGCCCCTCCTGTTCGCCCAGCAACCCCTGATTCTCCTCTACTTTCCTGTCCCCCACCTCTTCACCTTGTTGCTTCCCCTCCTCTCCCTCCTCCCCATCATCGCTATCACTAACCTCTCCCTCCTCTCTGCTTCCCTCCTCCCCACTGCTCTCCCTACTCGTGTCCCCCTTCACTTCCGTCGCCATCGCTTTATTCGCACCGTCCCCACCTCCCATGCCCTCTGCAGCCATCTCTTTCATCTCCACCTCCATCCCCACACACTTTCCTCTCTTCACTGCTCCTTCCCTCCCCTCCTTTCCTCCCTTTACTGCCCCTTTTTTCCTCTCGCCCACCCCACTCTCTTCCCCCTCGTTTCCCCCACACCTCGCCCTCCCCCTCTCATCCTTCCACGCCAACAAGCCTTCAACCCTCTCATCCGCACTATCCTCATCATCCCCTTCCTCACTTTCCTCCTCACTCTCCCTCCCTCGCCCCCCCGCCCGTCTCTCCCGCAGCAGCAGAGCCTGCAGGGCAGCAGGGGGGGTCAGCCCTGCCTCTACAAACGCCTTGGCGCGCTCAACCTTCTGCTTGCTGCTGCCACCCTGCTGGGAAATAGTGGCGTGTAAGGGAGGCAGAAAAGGGGGGGAGAAGAGGAAGGGGGTTAAAGGAGGGGTCAGCCCTGCCTCTACAAACGCCTTGGCGCGCTGCACCATCTGCTTGGCGCGCTGCACCATCTGCTTGGCGCGCTGCACCATCTGCTTGGCGCGCTGCACCATCTGCTTGGCGCGCTGCACCATCTGCTTGGCGCGCTGCACCATCTGCTTGCTGCTGCCACTCTGCTTGCTGCTGCCACTCTGCTTGCTGCTGCCACTCTGCTTGCGGGGAGGGAGAAGGAGGGTTGGGTAGGAAAGAATGGAAGAAGGGTTTCCACGATTTCTCAAATCCACCCATCCCGGGGGGTCAGCCCTGCTTGCGCTGCCACTTGGGGATGAGGTTAGGGCAGGGTCAGGTAGGGTGGGGAAAGGGTGGACGGAGCAGGGTGGGGGGAGGCGGGTAGGGGAAGGAGGGTAAGGAAAGGCGGGTAGGGGAAGGAGGGTAAGGGAAGGAGGGTAAGGGAAGGAGGGTAAGGGAAGGAGGGTAAGGGAAGGAGGGTAAGGGAAGGCGGGTAAAGAGGACAGGTATGAGAGGGCGGATATGCAGTAAAAAAGATGGAGAGGAGGGGGCCAGGGAAGAGTAGAGGGGGTGAGGGCACAGGAAAAGGGGGGAGGCGGGGGCGCACATGCACACACGCACGCACACACTAAGTACCTTCGTGCAACCTGCTACTCTCACACTTCCGCCCATCAACTGCCTCACCTCACTCCCCCACTTCTCCGCTTCCCATTGCCCTCCCCTTGCCCTCCCCTTGCCCTCCCCTTGCCCTCCCCTTGCCCTCCCCTTGCCCTCCCCTTGCCCTCCCCTTGCCTGCCGCTTGCCCTCCCCTTGCCCTCCCCTTGCCCTCCCCTTGCCCTCCCCTTGCCCTCCCCTTGCCCTCCCCTTGCCCTCCCCTTGCCCTCCCCTTGCCCTCCCCTTGCCTGCCGCTTGCCCTCCCCTTGCCCTCCCCTTGCCCTCCCCTTGCCCTCCCCTTGCCCTCCCCTTGCCCTCCCCTTGCCCTCCCCTTGCCCTCCCCCTGCCCTCCCCTGCCCTCCACTTGCCATTCCCTGTCCCCCTCTCATCTCTCCTGCCCCCCCACCCTCCCCGCACCTGTCCCAATGTGCTGCTGGGTGCCATGAGATGCAGTGCGGTGGCCGACGCCTCGTGCTGCCTGGGGGCGCAATGGGGAAGGGTGGATGGGGGGTGGCAAGGGGAATGGGCCAAGAGGAACAGGCAGTGGGGCGAACAGGCAGTGGGGCGAACAGGCAGTGGGGCGAACAGGCAGTGGGGCGAGCAGGCAGTGGGGCGAACAGGCAGTGGGGCGAGCAGGCAGTGGGGCGAACAGGCAGTGGGGCGAACAGGCAGTGGGGCGAACAGGCAGTGGGGCGAACAGGCAGGCAAGCAGCACAATCACCCAGGGTGCTCTGCCAGCGGCGGCGGCAGCAGCAGTGGCAAGTACATTCAAATGACACATGCACCTGCCCGCCGCCGTCGCTGCGAACACAAGAGCGCTCATAGCGCAGGGAAACCAACAAGGTGTACAGAGACGATTTCGAGACGTCTCAAAAATCATGCGGTGCGGTAACCCAGTTACGCAGGATCCTGCAGAACGCAGCATGGTGATGATGAGGAAGCAGCACGGTGATGAGGAACATACTTGACTCGGGGAAGTTGGAATGGGGGGAAAGGAGGAAGCGGTGAAGACGAAATGGGAGGGAGGGGGGGGAGCGGGGAACAAGAAACGGGAAAACGGGAGAAGCAAGGGACAAGGAGTGAGGGGAATGGGGAAGCTGGGAAGATGGACATGGGCGGCAAGGGAAGATGGACATGGGCGGCAAGGGAAGATGGACATGGGCGGCAAGGGAAGGGTGAGTAATGCACTCACTGCAGCAGCAGTGAGGGACGAGTGAGTGATGCACTCACTGCAGCAGCAGTGAGGGACGAGTGAGTGATGCACTCACTGCAGCAGCAGTGAGGGACGAGTGAGTGATGCACTCACTGCAGCAGCAGTGAGGGACGAGTGAGTGATGCACTCACTGCAGCAGCAGTGAGGGACGAGTGAGTGATGCACTCACTGCAGCAGCAGTGAGGGACGAGTGAGTGATGCACTCACTGCAGCAGCAGTGAGGGACGAGTGAGTGATGCACTCACTGCAGCAGCAGTGAGGGACGAGTGAGTGATGCACTCACTGCAGCAGCAGTGAGGGACGAGTGAGTGATGCACTCACTGCAGCAGCAGTGAGGGACGAGTGAGTGATGCACTCACTGCAGCAGCAGTGAGGGACGAGTGAGTGATGCACTCACTGCAGCAGGTGGATGGCTTGCTTGCGCTTCATCTTCTTCTCCCTCTCCTCCTGCCATGCACGCACGCGCCCCATGCCCAACATGCACCCCATGCCCCCCATGCCCCCCATGCCATGCCACCCATGCATCGCACCCCACCCATGAGATGAGAGTGGAAAGGGGGGGAAACCAAGGGCAGGGTAGGGGAGGAACGAAGGTGCAGGGAGGTAGGGGAAACACAGTGAGAGGGACGAGGATGTGGTAAATAGAGCATTCCTAAATGAACGGAATGGCTGCATGCACCATTCCTCACCACCCCTCTCACCACCCCTCTCACCACCCCTCTCACCACCCCTCTCACCACCCCTCTCACCACCCCTCTCACCACCCCTCACCAGCCATCACCTGCAGCTGCTGCACCTCGCGCCTCTCTCACACACATTCTCACCACTTCCTCTCCCCCACCTCTCAAACCAACCAACCCACTTTCCCCCAACAGCACGTTGACAATTACAAACCCATCTCCTCCACCCCGACCCCCAGCCCCAGCCCCCTACCTTCCCCCCAACCTTCCCCTCCCCCTTCCCCCTCCCCCTCCCCCTCCCCTTCACCTTCCCCCCCCAAGCCCCCCCCTCCCCTTTCCTTTTTCCTCCCCCACAAATTGTCACCTGGATGCGGCGCAGCTTGCGCTGCACGCGCTTGCTGTTGCGCCGCTTCTTGCGGTCGTCCACCAGCTCCAGCTCATCGTTGTCCAGCGCCACGTCAGCAGCCACGTCAGCGCCGGATGCCAGCTCAGCTTCGACCCCGTCCACTCGCTGCGGGAGAAATGCAGAAAGGCAACAGTGATATGCAAGGTGGGGCCATAGAGCTCACTCACGGAGTGCCATGCCATGCATGCATTTCACCCACAAAACCTTAGGACCAAGTGACTTTTGCATCGACTATAAAGTCACCCCGAGAGCTTTCCACTCAAAAGGTCATGGTTGTCACGAAACGACATACATTCCACTTACTCAAACTGCCCAAAACCCACCTGATAATACCTCCCCCTCCTGCAAAAGACTTCCTCCTGCTGAAACCCCCCTGCCTGCCTAAAACCCTCCGCCTGCCAAAAAACCCTCTCCCTGCCTAAAACCCTCCGGATGTCTAAAACTCTCCGCCAGTTTCGAAACATCCGCCTGCCTAAAACCTTCCACCTGCGCAGGAGGTCCCTGGCGCGGTGCTCCTAGCAGCACTGCTGCTCCGCCCAGCGCACCTCGCAGGGCTCGTGGTAACGGCTGCCCCGCGCGCACGGCGCAGCGGGCGCGATGACGAGCGCGTTGCTGCCGCCGCCGTCATCCCCCACCGCGCTGCCGTCCTCCCCGCCCAGCGGCAGCGGCGGATTGCCTTCGTGGGCCCCGCGCCTGCCGTGTACGCGGAGATAGCGGATGCGCGCGGAACGGGAAGGGGGAGCCGGGGGGTTGGGGGTTGGGGGGAGAGGGTGGGGGGAGGGAGAGACGAGGAGGTGTGGGAGGAGGGGGGAGCGGGGAGATGGAAAGGGGATCTTAAAGAACGCGCGAGCGACGAGGAGGCGAGGGGGATGAAGAACAGCAAGGGCATTTCCTCGTCGCGCTCGCGAGGTCTACTGAAGTAAAAACTTCAAGATTTAAGGTAAGAGGCGACCGCTGCCGCTACTGCCGTTACCGCCGCTACTGCCCTACCGCCCTACTGCCGCGGCACACGAGGCGAGCCCGCGCAACCCGCGCGCACGCGGGGCTCCGCGCTGCCGCACCTGGGTTTCCGCGTGGCGCGCTTCAGCTGCGCCTTCTTCTGCTTCGGCCGCCCCATGCCGCCCGCCTCGTCTGCTCAACTGCTGCCGGCTGACTGCTGGCGGCTCCTGGACGATCGACAAGGTGTGGCGTGAAGCACGCTCTTGGAGTTGCAGATGGGGAGGTCGCGAGTAGGCATAGGTGGTTGTAAGTGGGGTTCAACGAGGTTCAACCTAGAGGGGAATATAAACCAGTCTGATCTACTCACTGTTTTACTGAATCTTTAGAAAACCTATTACCTGTTACGGGTGCAATAAAACGAGGTAGCGAGAATTGCTCGGAGTACTAAGTATGAGTGAAGGCATGAGCGAATACTTAGGGCGCGTAACCATTTTGCATTTTTAGATTTTGACGTACCGTCCGATTATATGGAATCTGACTGTACGTTTATAACAAAACGGACTGTCCGATTTGAATGTTTGCAACTTCGGACTGTCCGAAGGCAGATGTGACACTTTTTCCACATGCTAGGGTTTCGCGATGGTTTTCCCTTCGCCATCTCAAATGTACATCAGTAACGCCAGTCACAAACCATCGCAATTTTCGCCAGTTGAGTTCAGCGCTTCGGACAAACATAGGAAATGTCAAACAAACACAAAGGCCGTCCAAACCAAGCTCATTCAATGTCAGAAGGACCAGGTATCTGGGACTCTTGTGTTTCGAGAACATCTGTGGCAGGAGTGGTAGTATTGATAAAGCCCGGTTGCGGGGAGTTAGGAGTGGTGTTGTCAGACTGGGTGTTCTGGGCGTAGCTAGAGGGATCCATTGTGCAGAGAAGTGAGTAGTGATGAGAAGTGGGTCAATGTCGTGGCTTCTTGTATTGTAATATGGCTAGTTGTGATTGGTCAATGTCAATCTTTGCATCCGAGTCGCATTTTTTCATGTTTTGGCGAGGCGGTCCGCTAAAATTCAATTTCGCCCGCCAATCGCGTGCGCGGACAGGCGGACAGTCCGTTTGTGATTCGGACAGTCCGATGTCAGAGTTTCGTGTCCGAACATTATAGCTTATACATTTGTGTAGGCTGTAGTGGGGTAGCCCACAAGGGGTACAACCCAATTAGGGTTAGTACTTGTACCCAACTCTTTCATAGTTTAATCATTCTCGTTTCTCATCATGGTATCGAGCAAGTTCCCGAGTGGGAATGCTGCCTAGGGCCCACCACGATTTTTTTCTCCAAGCCCGGAGCGCGCTTCACTCCTACCCGAGTCGCGTTTCGTGTGCCCTACCTACCCTCGAGCCGCCCTTAGTGGCCCCTTTGGCCGCCCTTACGGCCCCTCGCGCCGCCCTCTAAGGCCCCTCGCGCCGCCCTTACGGCCCCGCCTAGGCCCCTTACGACCCCTCCGCGGCCCCGTCTAGGCCCCTTGCGGCCCCGTCTAGACCCCTCCGCGGCCCCGTCTCGCCCCTTACGGCCCCGCCTAGGCCCCTTACGGCCCCTCCGCGGCCCCGTCTAGGCCCCTCCGCGGCCCCGTCTAGGTCCCTCCGCGACCCCGTCTGGCTCCTTGCGGCTCCGTTTCGGCCCCTCTGCGGCCCCGCTTAGGCTCCTCTACGGCCCCGTCTGGCCCCTTTACGGCCCCGTTCAGGCCCCTTCGCGGCCCCGTCTCGCCCCTTACAGCCCCGTTTAGGCCCCTCCTCGGCCCCGTCTAGGCCCCTTTTGAGGAAATTAGAACGAGAATGAATGAAGTATGAAAGAGTTGGGTACAAGTACTAACCCTAATTGGGTTGTACCCCATATAGGCTACCCCACTACAGCCTACACAAAAGCATAAGCTATAATGTTCTGACACACCCCCATAGGCAAAGTGGGGGAGTACAAGTGGTCACAAGACCAGTCAAGCAAAGCAAAGCAAAGCAAGCTCAGGGTGGATCACAAAGTCACCACACATTCCGAGCACAAGGTCAAGGCCACAAGGCCAGTTCACATGCAGGAGTACATATATATATATAAAAGGCTAGACAAGCAAGAGCAGGTGTATATATATATGTAACAGTACAAGCAAGGTCAAGAGGTGAGCAAGTGAGGCAAGGCAGGCACAAGACCCAGCTGAGTACAGAAGCGCTGATGATCACAAGGCGCAAGCGCCTTGGTGAAGATATCAGCAGTGTTGGCCTCAGAGGCCAAGTACGCAAGACGCAGCTGACCACGCTGTTACAGCCCACGAGCAAGGAAGTAGCGGAGAGCAATGTGCTTCGTTCTGTGCTCCAGTCTCTGCTCTCGACACAAGGCCAGCATGGCCTTGTTGTCTACGTACAGCACTGGAGGAGAACGAGGCGGCTCTCCGAGGTCAGTCAGCAGGTAGGTGAGCCAGCGAAGCTCCTGTGCAGCCATGGCCCCGGCGTAGATCTCAGCCTCACAACTGGAGCCGAGAACAGAAGACGAGCGGGTAGCCCGCCACGAAACAGAGCCGGAACCAAGGCTGAAGGTGTAACCCTGTGACGACCGCTGCGTAGCCTGGTCGTCAGCCCAAGAAGCGTCTGCGTGCCCAGTGAGAACCACTGGACTCTGCCCTCCAAGCACAAGCCCCATGCCTGACGTACTGCACAAGTAGCGCAACACCCTCTTTGCTGTAGCCATGTGCTCCGATCTGTGTCTCCCAGGAGCAACATAGCGTGCGAGAATGCTAAGAGGGTATGCAAGGTCAGGTCGAGTGCAGGTCATCAGGTACATGACGCAGCCAACAAGCTCTGGGTACGGGCCACTCGACTCTACGGACTCATCCGAAGGCAGAGCTGAGAGCGAGTGGCGAGTAGGCAGAGGAGTGGCCTGAGGTGAGGAGTACGTGAAGCCGAAGCGCTGAAGGACCTGCTGCACCATGTGTGACTGAGTCAGGGTAATGGTGCGCCGTGCTCTGTCCCGGGTGATCTGCAAGCCAAGGTAGCTACGCAGTTCACCTTGGTCTGTGCACGTGTGTCTCTTCTGCAGCTCGGACTTCACGTGGGCGAGTCCAGCAGTGTCAGCTGTGGCAAAGACCAAGTCGTCGACGTACACGAGGATGTAGAACGGCGGCAAAGAGGTGCCGGTGCGCAGAAACAGCGACGGGTCGGCAGTAGAGGGAGCAAACCCAAGAGCCGCAAGTGTAGTCCTCAGTGTGTCGTGCCACTCACGCGGTGCCTGGCGGAGATCGTAGACTGGCCGCCCTTCTCGGCCCCTTTCGGCCCCGGCTAGGCCCCTTTCAGCCCCGCTTAGGCCCCTTTCGGCCCCGTCTCGGCCCCTCTGCGGCCCCGCCGCCACCTGCGGCCCCGACGCCACCTGCGGCCCCACCGCCACCTGCAGCCCCGTCGCCGCCACCTACGGCCCCCTCGCCGTCACCCGCGGCCCCGTCGCCCTACCCTAGCGGCCCCATCATCGCTCCGCCGCCCAGCGACCGAGCCGCCGAGGAGCACAGCAGCCGAACCACCCGCCTACCGAGCAGCCGAGCCGCCCAGCAGCCGAGCCGCCCCGCAGCCGAGCCGCTGAGCAGCCGAGCCGCCCGGCAGCCGAGCCGCCCTGCCGCCGAGCCGCCCAGCAGCCGAGCAACCTTGCAGCCGAGCCGCCCTGCCGTCGAGCCGCCGAGCCGCCAAGCCGCCCTACCGTGTAGCAGCTGCTGTTCCTACCGGTGCTCCCCGGCCCCTCCTTCCTAGGACTAGTGAGCTCACTTCCTCCTAGGCCACTGCAGTCATGGCTACCCCCAGTGTCCTCACTTTTGATGCTAAGGGCCGTGCCGTTGACTTTGAGGTCTGGGTCGATGACCTCCACCTGTTTCTCCAGTGCGATAGGGCAGACAGCCTCTCCCTGTTTCACCTCACTTCTGGTGCCTCTCCTGCCCCTGCTGCTAATGCTGACGCCACTATTCGCTCACAGTGGGCCACGCGCGATGCTGCTCCACGCCTTGCTGTGCGCCGCCACTTACCGACCACTTAGCGTGCACACTTTAGCCAGTACAAGAGTGCTCAGACCTTGTACGACGCTGTAGTTGCACGCTACTCTTCCCCTGCCACTGCTGCACTGAGCCGCCTCATGCTACCGTACATCTTCCCTGACCTTGCTGCCTTTCCCACAGTCGCTGACCTCATTACGCACCTCCGCACTAGTGACACTCGCTACCGCGCTGCGCTTCCTGCTGAGTTCTGCGCCAAGAACCCTCCACCCATGTACATCACCCTCTACTACATAGTCATCTGGCTCCCTGACTCTCTCCGCGTAGTCAGGGACCACTTCCTCTCAGTTTGCCCCACCACTCTCACCGTTGACCTCCTCGAGAAGGCCCTCCTAGCGATAGAGAAGAGCATAGTCGTTGTAGGAGCCTCTCGTGGTGACCCTCGCACCCCCGTCTTTGAGGGGTGTTCTCCCTCCCCCCTCTTGCCCTCTGTTGCCTCTACTGCTGCGGCCGACCTCGTTGGTTTCGAGTCGGTCGGCGCTGCGTCTGCCCCGAGCGGGAAACGCTGCACTGGTAGGGGCAAGGGGGGCAAGGGCACTAGAGGGGCTGGAGGGGGCGGTGGAGGTGGTGGTGGAGGCAGTGGAGGGAGTGGGGGTGGTGGTGGGAGTGGTGCCAGGGGTGGCGGTGGCGGCGGCAGCAGTGGAGGAGGCGGAGGCGGTGGAGGTGGCGGAGGGAGCGGAGGCGGCGGAGGTGGCGAAGGAGGCGGAGGTGGAGGAGGCGGCGGAGGCGGCGGCGACGGCGGCGGCGGTGGTGGAGCGGGTCACGACTCTGCTCAGAGGAGTGGCTCAGGTGGTGGTCCGCGCCAGCAACAGCGGAGTGGTGTGACCCTGTCCCTTCAGCAGCTTCGTGAGTGGTACACTGCGTGTCAGCGCAGTGGGGGTTTTGGTCCTTGCGCTTACGTCCTCCGTACCGGCGACCGCGCTGGTGAGCAGTGTGGAGGCCCGCACTCCACCCAACGCTGCTTTGGTCGCGTGACGGACGCTTGGCGTCGCCAGTTTCCTGAGGCGTCAAAGATCCCTTGCAGGGGAGATCTGACTAAGGCCGGGGTTGCTATCTTTGATCTTGACTTTGATGCTATTCTTGCTGCCATGTATGCTGTTGATACTAGTATTGCGGATGACTGTTACCTGTGTGTACCGCCTGACCTCGGCATTGACGTCGCTGCTCTAGGTGATGGTGAGGCTGCTGCTCTAGGTGCTAGTGCGTCTGCTGCCCTAGGTGCCAGCGCGTCTGCTGCCCCAGGTGCTGGTGAGTCTGCTCTCTCAGGTACTACGTCGGCTCAGGCCTTCCACACCTTCACCCTGGACTCGGGTGCGTCCCGCTCTTTCTTTCGAGACCGCACCACTCTTACGCCGCTAAGTCGGCCGGTTGCAGTCTCCGTGTCCGACCCCTCTGGGGGTCCTGTCCTTGCTAGCTTCTCCACTGTCCTACCGTGCCCGGCAGCCCCCTTTGGCACTCTGTCTGGTCTCTACCTCCCCTCGTTCTCTACAAACTTGGTGAGTGGAGCGGACCTACAGGATAGGGGGGTTGATTAGTTCACTCCTGCGAGTCAGCGAGTGACCCACTGCACGTGTGCTCGGACAGGCCCACACTTGGCCACGTTCACATGCGGCCAGGGTCGAGCCTATACACCCTTACTACTGAGTCTCCTCCTGCTACTAAGTCTGCCCAGGTAGCTGCGTCGAGTCAGGTGTTTGCTGCGGCGTCCAGGTCTGTTCCTGAGTCTGCTCCCTGCTCGTGTCGTCTACTGTCCCACCAGACTCTCCTTTGGCACCACCGCCTTGGTCACCCCTCCTTGCGTCGTCTCCGAGGCATGGCATCCCGTGTCCTTGTCTCTGGTCTCCCTCAGTCTCTCCCTCCCCTTCCTCTGGGACCTGGCCCTACCTGTGTCCCCTGCGTCGAGGGGCGACAGCGCGCCGCCCCTCACTTCTGCGAGTTTCCTCCGACAGAGGCTCCGCTGCAGACTCTCCACATGGACGTGTGGGGTTCAGCCCGCGTCAGTAGGAAGGGGCGAGAGCGGTACTTCCTGCTGGTGGTTGACGACTACTCGCGTTACAACATGGTCTTCCCCTTGCGCACCAAGGGTGACGTCACTGAGGTGTTGATCGACTGGACCCGCGCAGCTCGTCTCCAGCTCAGAGAGAGTTTCGGCTCGGACTTTCCTGTTCTGCCACTGCACTCTGACAAAGGCGGGGAGTTTTCCTCTGCCCGTCTTGGAGCCTTCTGTCGTGCAAAGGGGATCCGCCAGACCTTCACGCTTCCAGCCTATCCACAGCAAAATGGGATTGCTGAGCGCCGCATTGGCATGGTCATGGACGTCGCTCGTACGTCCATGATGCATGCGGCTGCCCCCCATTTTCTGTGGCCGTTTGCGGTTCAGTACGCCGCGCATCACCTCAACCTTCAGCCCTGAGTCTCCTTGCAAGAGACCTCCCCCGCCTTGCGGTGGACCGGGAAGGTTGGCGATGCGTCTGCGTTTCGGGTCTGGGGATCTCGGGCGTTTGTCCGCGACTTGTCTACGGACAAGCAGTCCCCCCGTGCGGTTCCCTCCGTCTTCCTTTGGCTTCCCCCCTGACGCGCTTGGCTGGCAGTTTTACCTCTCTTCCTACTCTTGCAGACCCGGAGTCTAACTCTCTTCGTGCAGCTAGTCCTTCTGTCACGCGTCTCCTGGCTACTGTTGTCATTGACCTTTCCTTTCAGTCCACTGCTGCGTCTGCCTTGGTTGCTGAGCTTGTCGACTTCGCTGCTCGCAGTCGTCTAGACTACGCCGCTAGTCTCATTGCTGAGTCTGAGTATGTCTGTCCTCCGTCCGTCGGGGGTGAGTCTGCTCTTAGCATGGACGTCCTTGAGGACATGCAGGAGGAGTTCCAGTGCTTTGCTGCTGCTTTGCCCCATCTCGTGTCCACGCTGATTGCCCCTGAGGGAGACCCGGATGCACCAGACATCCCGACTCCTCGATCGTACGCTGAGGCGATCGAGGGTCCCTACTCCTCTCAGTGGCAGTCGGCCATGGACGCAGAGATGGCTTCCTGGAAGTCCATACGCACCTACATCATCGAGGTTCCCCCACCTGGGGCGAACATCGTCAGTGGCATGTGGATTTTCAGGGTGAAGCGGCGGCCGGGTTCTCCGCCTGTCTTCAAGGCCCGTTACGTGGCTCGAGGCTTCAGTCAGCGGTAGGGAGTTGACTACATTCAGACCTTCTCTCCCACCCCGAAGATGGCCACTCTTCGGGTGCTGCTGCACATAGCCCCTCAGCGCGACTACGAGCTTCACTCTCTTGACTTCAGCACAGCTTGCGGCTCTTGGGTTTGCTCCTTCTACAGCCGACCCGTCGCTGTTTCTGCGCACCGACACCTCTTTGCCGCCGTTCTACATCCTCGTGTACGTCGACGACTTGGTCTTTGCCACTGCTGACACTGAGTCTCTCGCCCACGTGAAGTCCGAGCTGCAGAAGAGACACACGTGCACAGACCTGGGTGAACTGCGCAGCTACCATGGCTTGCAGATCACCCGAGACAGAGCACAACGCACCATTACCCCGACTCAGTCACACATGGTGCAGCAGGTCCTTCAGCGCTTCGGCTTCACGTACTCCTCGCCTCAGGCCACTCCTCTGTTTACTCGCCACTCGCTCTCAGCTCTACCTTCGGATGAGTCCGTAGAGCCGAGTGGCCCGTACCCAGAGCTTGTTCGCTGCCTCATGTACCTGATGACCTGCACACGACCTGACCTTGCATACCCTTTTAGCATCTTGGCACGCTATGTTGCTCCTGGGAGACACCGACCAGAGCATATGGCTGCAGCGAAGAGGGTGTTGCGCTACGTGTGCAGTACGTCGAGCATGGGGCTAGTGCTTGGAGGGCGAGGTCGAGCGGTCCTCAGAGGTCACGCAGACGCTTCTTGGGCTGACGACCAGGCTCTGCAGCGGTCGTCACAGGGTTACACCTTTTGCCTTGTTTCGTGGCGGTCTACCCACTCGTCTTCTGTTCTCAGCTCCAGCTGTGAGGCTGAGATCTACGCAGGGGCCATGGCTGCACAGGAGCTACGCTGGCTCACCTACCTACTGACTGACCTAGGAGAGCGGCCTCGTTCTCCTCCAGTTCTGTACGTAGACAACAAGGCCATGCTGGCCTTGTGTCGGGAGCACAGACTGGAGCACAGAACGAAGCACATTGCTCTCTGCTACTTCCTGGCTCGTGAGCTGCAGCAGCGTGGTCAGTTGCGACTTGCGTACGTGGCCTTTGAGGCCAACAGTGCTGATATCTTCACCAAGGCCCTTGCGCCTTGTGATCATTAGCGCTTCTGTACTTTTCTAGGTCTTATGCCTACCTGGCCTCACTTGCTCACTTCTTGATCTTGTTTGTACTGTACTCTTTCTATACCTGCATTTGCTTGTTTACCTTTATATATATGATCTTGCATGTGAACTAGCCTTGTGGCCTTACTCTTGTGCTTGGACTGTGTTGTGACTTTGTGATCCACCCTGAGCTTGCTTTGCTTTGCTTGACTGGTCTTGTGACCACTTGTTCCCCCCCACTTTGCCTATGGGGGTGTGTCAGAACATTATAGCTTATACATTTGTGTAGGCTGTAGTGGGGTAGCCCATAAGGGGTACAACCCAATTAGGGTTAGTACTTGTACCCAACTCTTTCATAGTTCAATCATTCTCGTTTCTCATCATTTCGTGTCGTTGGAAAGCGGAAAAAGTGTCATGAGAGTTCGAATTTTTAGCGATGTTGCAAACGTCATCGCAAAGAACTGAACGACATTAAACGAAATTGGTAACCCTTCGCCACGACGGACGGTCCACGGTTCGTTCCGTCGGGTGCAAAATGGTTACACGCCCTTACCATATTCCCCCGGATATAGCACACTAGGGTGATCCCTTGTAAAAGAAGGAGGGGGAGGGAGGGGGGAAAGGGGTGGTCTTAACACAGGAAAATTAATATACTACCCGGATGTTTTCGTATGACAAATTTTTTTATTGTGTTGGACACAACTGTTAATACTGAACTTGGTGGTCTGCTTTTGGCGAGCAACAAGAGAGCGGATCGTGGTTCGCTCCGAACGACCCTTGACGAATCACAGCGTTGTCGGAAAACCCTTAACCAGTCACAACGCATTTGCCTCTAACAGCAATTCCCTTCCCTCCTCCCCCCCCCCCCCCCCCCCCCCACCCTCCATGCAGCAAATTCGCCCCCTGACGCAGCAAATTTGCCCCCTGGCGCAGTGTCAGAATATTATGTTTCTCTAGTATGCAGTGGGGTACTCTATAGTGAGTACAACCCTTTTAGGGTTTGCTATATGTATCCCAATGTTTGCTAGTGAACCCCCTTCTCTCTTCTTCATTCCTCAATTCTCACATGCTATCAGAGCATCTACGCTCCTGGCCTGTGGTCCCACCTAACTGCTTTCGCTGCTACTCTGTGTTCGGCACGCCCCGTGGCGTGCCCCTCGCGCTACTCTTAGCGGCCCCGTTGCCGCCCTTCCAGGCCCCTCGCGGCCCCTTCGCGCCCCCGTTGCCGCCCTTCCAGGCCCCTCGCGGCCCCTTCGCGGCCCCGTCGCCGCCCCTTTCGCGGCCCGGCGCCGCCCTTCCAGGCCCCTCGCGGCCCCTTCGCGGCCCCATCGCCGCCCCTATCGGCCCCGTCGACGCCACTAGCGGCCCCGTCGCCGACCCTAGCGTCCCCGTCGCCGTTCCTATCGGCCCCGTCGCCGCCGCCAGCGGCCCCGTCGCCGCCACCAGCGGCCCCGTCGCTGACCCTAGCGGCTCCGTCGCCGCTCCTATCGGCCCCGTCGCCGCCGCCAGCGGCCCCGTCGCCGCCGCCAGCGGCCCCGTCACCGACCCTAGCGCCCACGTCGCCGCTCCTATCGGCCCCGTCGCCGCCGCCACTTGCGGCCCCGGCCCCGCCCCGGCCATGCTCCGTCGCCAGTCGCGGCGCACCGGGGGCACGTGCACCGCCCCCCCCTCTTTTCTTGTCGCCCGTCGCGGCTCCCTGGGGGGCTGCGACCTGGGGGGGGGGGGGGGGGCGAACGTCGCCCCTTCTGCCGCCTGTTTTGGCGCCCTGGGAGGCCGCGCGTCGCCCCCCCCCCCCCCCCCCGGAACCTCCCTACCCGTCGCCCGGCCCTGCCCTGTATTAGGGTTTGGGGATGGCGAGTAGGGGGTGGCGGGTGTGTGGTCTCCCCTGCTCCTCCTCCTCCTCTGTCTCCCACTGCTGCTGAGGGGGGTGGGTGTGTGGGAGTCGACGGAGTGGTGCTAGGGGGTGGGGTGTGAGTGAACCTAGGGGTGCAGTAGGGGGTGTGTGAAATGGGGGTGGGATAGTTTGGGGAGGTTGAAGGGGGTGGCCGCCGTGAAGCCAGCAGCTCCAGTCGCCCGTGAGACCGTTGCGCCAGTCGCCCGTGAGCCCGTTGCGCCAGTCACCCGTGAGCCCGTTGCTCCAGTCGCCCGTAAGTCCGTTGCTCCTGCCGCTCAGAGTTAGCCGCGGAGCCAGTTACTCCAGTAGCCCATGTGCCAGTTGCTCCAGTTGCCAGTGTGCCAGTTGCTCCAGTTACCCGTGTGCCAGTTGCTCCAGTTGCGCCGTGTGCCAGCAGCTTCAGCTGCCGCCCACTACCTCCTCTCCTCTCATAGTCCCTCCTCCTCCACACTTGCCCTCTGCGATAGCCTCTAGCTTTGCTTACATTTGTGAACTTTAAACTGTTGCTTCTTGTACTTGTGCTCAGAATGTGTGGTGACATTGTGATCCACCCTGAGCTTGTTCTGCTTTGCTTGCTGTGCTGATTACACCCCACTTTGACTATGGGGGTGTGTCAGAATATTATGTTTCTCTAGTCTGCAGTGGGGTACTCTATAGTGAGTACAACCCTTTTAGGGTTTGCTATATGTATCTCAATGTTTGCTAGTGAAACCCCTTCTCTCTTCTTCATTCCTCAATTCTCACACGCAGCAGATTCACCCCCTAACACTGCGAATTCACTCCCATACTGTATAATTAGCATCATAACGTGTTTCGGTTTGAATTGTTGATTACAAATCTACATGGAAATCCCCCTATAGAGGAAGGAGGGGGGGCTTATATTGTTCACCCCTCGGGGTAGAATAATTTCGAGGCTTAATAAACATCCCCCCCGAATTAGCTACACATGGGTGTTCTATTTTGGGGGAGTCTTATATCTAGGGGATTATGGTATGTGCGAACATGCAAATGGTAACGCGGTGCATGCGAGCTAGCTAGTGCTACGCTAGCAAAGAGGTTCAGGCTAGTCCTGAACCGTATGCCCACACGATCGGGCCAGCGGAGCATGGTTTGGTGAACAGTGCGTGCGAATGTTGGCGAAGCCCCGTTAGCAATAACGGGCGAACAACGGCTGCTGCTGTACGCGGTGTTGTAGCATGCGGTAAGGAATGTCGAGAAA